TTCCGTTTATGAGAAACTTTCCTCATTCTTGAATTTCCTAGTGATCAGAAACATCCTGATGTTCAGCACCTCAAAGAGAAAGAGGAGGAGATTGCTGAGGAGAGACTTGCCAAGGTATATTATCATTCTCACGTCAGTTGCTGTTGACCAGCTGTGAAGTATTAACCTGTTTTCTTCTATTTCACAGCAGTGAAACAAACACTGATTTCTAGTGAATTCTAATAGGCACAGCCTGACACTTAGCTCTTAGGGTTTCTATCTCAGCCTGACACAAGTGAACTGGGTGTCAGATGACACAGGAAGCAAAAACAGATTTGGATTGCTAAATCTGACTCATCTCCACAGAGTTGGAAAGTGAAGATTGTGTCACTTGCTAATGTCAGGTCTGTGTCAAAGGGAAGTTCATGTCACAGCGGAGGTTGCCATGGATTTCCCAGACAGAAAAACCCCCTGTTAGAGCTTTGCTGTGTGTGAGTGGGCAGAGAGATAGGCTGGGGGTCATTTGTGCTGGCATGAAATGGGAAATACCTGCATATAGTAAAGAGATGAACTTAGAGTGAATATTAGAGATGTGAGCTACAGAGCAGTAGGATGACTTTGGCAGGATCTGGAATGAGATACACAGCATCAACTAAGTGATAAATAATTTTAAATATATATCTGTATGTTAAACATTAGGACTGTATCTAATGCTTTTGAACTTTTACAGAATAAAGCAATGGAGGAAATCCTGAAAATCAAAGCAGAGTAAGTCTAAATGTTGTTCCTTGAACTGGAAACTTGTATTAAACTAATTAATGACAAAAAAGCTATATTTAAGCACTAGAAGTCCCAAAAAAGCTATATTTAAGCACTAGAAGTCCAATACCTGAATTTATAAAAAACATAATTTGGAAATGTTTACACTTCTGCAAGACACATTGAGTTCTTACTCTTTCTCATCAGTAGGTGGTAGTAGCACCTATTGCTACATTTACTGAAAAGGATGGCATTATATCAGGACAATAATCTGGAATAGGTAGAACCATAAAAACTTGAATTTGAAGAGCCATTTTTAATTGTTTAAAGTTATTTATGTGTTCAAGTTTTATACATGCAATGAATTCTAAGCACATTCCCTTTCAAATTGAATTGAAATACCGTTCATTTCTTTATTAGTATCATAAATGTTTTATAATTTTAACATAATCTAATTATTTTCTTTTTATGCTATTTGTTTAAATTTTTGCAGTTAATCTTGAATAATGAAAATTTTTTGTTATTAGAGGACTCCTAGATTGTGTTTGCGCAATTGTGCAAATAGTCCTCAAAATTCAAATGTTTTGGGCCTTGGATGGATAGTAGCAAAGAAAGAAAATACTGAATTAGTAGATAAACAGTAGTTTGAAAATGTTGGTCCTGCTATTCTTTTCCTAATCTGTACTCTTCAGGATTCATAGTGGTTGAATCTTTTAATACTTGAGTTATTTACATTTAATGGAATGCTTTCTATGTACATAACTTCTTTTAAGAAGGAAGAGAGTTTTTATGCACATGGTCATTTCAAAAGTAACTTTCATTAAATTTTCCAGAAACCCCAGTCTGGCAATTAGGGATTATTTTGCTATTTGATGCATTGTGTTTTCATACCTGTCTGGTCTCTGAAATACGCTTTATAACAGTGCTACAAGGTCTCATTCAAACAAATAATGCACAAAGAAGTAAAATATTCTTTCCTCATTAAGAACATGTCTTGACAAATGTACCAAATGAATACTGTTTTCATAGAGTAAAAATCAGTAAAATAAAACTGATGACAAAAATAATTTAATTTATACAATATTTGAATAGACTTGGAAAATTATTAAAGTTCATATAATTAGTAGACAGGCTGCCAAGTTTGATGGCACAGTTTAATATTCTCTGAGCCTTACAGACATCTTGTCTGCTGAAAATGTTTTAATCCTATCCAAACTAGTGGTCCTTCTGTTACCAGGCCAAACAAGCTCAGGCCATCAGAGCTGCTCAGAGATGTTTCTGAACAACAGGACCACTGGGGGAAAAGTCACAGACAGACAAGCAATTTAAGGGAAACTTGAAGAGCAGCTGAGTTTAGCTGGAAAATTTACATTCCTTTGGTGGATTAATTCAAAGTGTTCTTGTAGGTGAAGCTTCTGTTTCTGCGTTCTCCTCAGTTGAGTTATATATCCTGGATTGCAGTTACCAAAGAGCACAGTTACCAAAGAGAAGAGCATCTCCAAAACACTGCATAGTTGATAGTATCAAAGACAAGAGCTGTGAAGCAGAATGAAATTTTTCCTTCCCTTAACACTAAGTTCTAAGAAAAATATATTGTCTCAGAAGGACACTTTTAAAGGAGCCTCCCTCCATGTCCAAGACTGGTTTAGTAATTCACTTATATGCCATTTATATTGGTTTTAAAGTTTTTTATGCTTCTTTTATATTGGCAGATTAGAAGAGACCAAAAATATCCTTAGAGTCCAAGAGAATGCTTGTCATCAAATGACTCTGGAGCTACAACGAACGAGAACTTTGGAGCTCAAAGCATTTAATGAAAAAGAAGAAATTAGATCAAAACTGGAGGAAGCATATGAAGAAAGAGACAGAACTGAAAAGGTTACACATGTATAATAATTTTTTTGTCTTTACAGTAAAATCTTATTCAGCAGAGGTAGAGGTCTTACAGTTTAGTTGTATTTGTAATATTATTCTCTGCACTAGTGGAAGTCTGGGTACAGAAATCAGTGTTGCAATTCATAATACAAATCAATTATTGCTCTTTTTTGACCTTTAGAAGGATCTAACATAGTATCTAAGGACACATAAGACAAATACGTATTTCCTGAATGAACCAACTCTTGCATCATATCTTACAAACAACTTAAATGTTAGTGTGTTTGTAGCTCTAAGAAGCTATTTCTTCTGAAAAGAGAAGGAGAGGCTACTGCTAACAGATACACAATGTATTTATATTAATTACAGGAAATAGAATTGCTGAGGAAGCAAGTTGACTCTCTTGCTGAGGAGAACGGGAAATTACTTGGTCATCAAAACCTAAACCAGAAGATTCAGTATCTTGTGAAACTGAAGAAAGATAACGCGAAACTTACTGAGGTAAGTTCCAGAGTAGAATACAGATGAAGTCATGGCTTGACATAGAAGATGTCAAGCTTTGAGAATGAAAACTAAAATTCTTGCTCTTCTTTGGAGAGCAATAGATTTTATGCAGTTCAGTAAGTCATGGCTGGTCTGTCTCCTCTCAGGCCCCAGACAAGGATCACCCTGTTTTATTTCCCCAAATATATAGTGTATAAAATACTTGAACAAATATAGATACTGCTTATTTAGAAATATAAAAGACATGAGGATAATTTCCTTAATATACCCATGCTTTTTTTTTCTGTTTTACAGGAGACTGAAAAACTACGAATTGAAAATGCTTTTTTGAAAGAATCAAAAAAATGTGACATTTGTAGGCATTATGATCAGCTGTAATGACACAAATAAAACTGCAGAACCATATTTTTAAAGTGTACAGAAAAAGCAAAAGCCATTTGTCAAGCTTGACTTTTGCTGTGGTCCTGGAATAATCAAGTATTTTAGTTCATAGATTTTTTTTTTTTTTTTGCTGGTAATAACTCTTAGTGAAGAATGTTATACCAGCTATGCGGGCAGCTTCCAATGACATAGTAACACCTTTCTGTAATTTCCAGTTTCCAAAACCGATTTTGTATAGGTGCTGGAAGATACTTCCTTGGAACTTTTGTACCTTGCCAAGGAAAAGCTTTCTTACTGGGAACACACCTGGATCTTTGTTTCCTTTTGTGCTTTTATTCAGGTTCCTACCTCTTCTGAAATGCTACATTTTCCACCAGAGCCAAAATTTTAAAAGCACAATTTCTTTGTGATTATTTCTTTAGCTAAACGTAGGGTGATTTTACTGGGTTGTTTAAAAATAGTTTTCATACTGAACTTTGTTCAATACAGCATAAATGTGAATTTAGTAACAGCCTTGTAAATAGCACTATAAATATATTTTGCCTTTCTGTTCTTTCTTTATATGAAATTAAAATGCTTTTTAACCCTTTTTCCCCCTATTATGGACTTATAGTAGACTTCTATATTAGAATTGTAGGAAATTCCAAGTATTTTGCAACCATTTTCTTATCAAACAAGTTAATGTTATGAAAGAAGCTGTGAAAATATGCAGAACATTTTAGGAGTACAGCAGAAGTTCACTTAGTTGCACTTAAGATTTATTACAGATACATGAAATGTTTATTAGTGGATCACAAAATGTTGATTTATATAGCAATATCCAACAGGCTTTTTTTTTTACTGCCGGTAAGCCTATCATTCTAGTTTTTGGCTACTTCATACAGTATTTTTTTTGCCCACAAGTGCTGGGGGAAAATGGAACAAAGCAGAAGATGTGTGTCTGATAAAGGGCAGGATAGACCTAGTGAGTTTCTACATGATTTGGCTGAGGGGAAGAATTTCTACCAGCTTATCTGCGCATTTTAAAGTTGCCTAAGTTCAAGCTCCCACTTGAGCTCTGATGTAAAAAGCTGACCTTAAATGGGGTAGGTGGTGTTTTTTTTTTCCTTGTAGACAATCTAGATAGGATCAGACCTAGAGGGGTACATCAAGGACAACACACCTGTTGTCCCTTGCGTGCTTTATTTGTTACTGCTGTGTTCTAGGTTTACAAATGTCGCCTTCCTATCTGTTTCTGGACTATTTCCATGTAGGTGGCTTCTGCCCTTTTCTGTGTTGTATGTGGCTACGGTAGGACCTGCGTTGTTCTCCTACTCCCTCCTTTTGTGTCTGTTCAAATAAAGCCTTTGTACATAAACGAACACTGCATACGTGCATTCTTCACAAACCCCCCCATCCGCTCCCGGCCGCCCCTGGCCCTCTAGGAGCGGGCCCGCCCGTACTCGGGCGGCGCTGCGGTGGCCGCGCCCGTGAGGCGGCGAGCGGGCCCGGTCCCGCGCGCCATGAGGGCCGGCCGGCGGGCGGCGGGGCTGCGGCGGCGGCCGCCGGGCTGCTCGGGGCGGCGGCGGGCGGCCGCGGCGAAGCTGGCGCTGGGGCCGGGCGGGGAGGCGGCCGGCGCCCGGTAAGGAAGGAGGGAGGCGGCGGGTGCTGTGGGTTCCCGTGCAGCCGCCCCCCGGGCGGCTCTGGGCGTCACGGCTGCGCTGGCGGGAGCGCGGCAGTTCTTCCTCCTCCGCTCCCAGGGGCTGCCCTGGATTTCTAGGGATAGCGGGGCGGTCTCGGAGAGCGGAGCGCTGAGTCAGCCTTGGAGGGCTGACTAATACGCGCTGTCGACGTAAACGAGGAGCAGGGAAAGGGAAGCGAGGCCACTGAGATGTTAAGACAACAAGCGTGGTACGGGAATGCCCCAGATCAAACCCAACCCTGCATTTGCAGTAGTTCTACGTCAGTGTTACTTTAGAAGCAGGATGTCAGTACTCTTTAGTATTAAATGCTTGTTCTTAGTGCACTGTTTTCTAATAACATTACTTTTCTCCGTCTTATTCTCTCACAGCTCAGTCCTTACCAGAGCAGACAGGTGGAGCCCTTGATTTCTGCTGTGCTGCTCAGCTGATCCTTGTGTCTTCGTTGGTCGTGATCTTTATCGCCGTTGTGTTTTTCAAACCTCCTTGAGCTTGAGGTTACGTGGGCCTGCTGTCCCTTGACCCCAGTAGCAGTGTCCTTACCTACAGGAGTGACCTCTGGCACAGGCACAGCAGAGGTGGGGAGGTACACGGGGTTGCATGTGAGTGGGGAAATGCTGAGGTAGGCAGCCTACGCGTCTCCTAAAAACACATTGGGGAGATTAATTTCAATATAGGTTGTTACTCATATGGCAAATGTACATTTGGATTTGAAACTAGAGCTGGAAAAATCCAGCCTTGCACCAGGAAGAAAAGAAAATCAATCCGTGTGATTATTAGAGAGGTTAAAAAGGCAAAAACGTAGCACCTGCCAATCCTTTTGATCTTTTCTGATAGATCGGAAAGGGTGGCAGAAAGGAAAATAAAAAAATTTAAATCCTTATACTCTTTCCAACCCCTCCACCCCCCAGAAAAAAATCCCCAACTTGTGCTCTGCACTGACAGAATACCAGAGCATGGAATTACTGCAAATGTTGACAGCATCTTTTCGGAGTATTTTTCTATGATGAAATTTCTAAAAAATATTGCGTATTTGTTTGGGGTGGGAGGTTGGTGCTTTTTTTTTTTTTTTTAAGTGCTATGACAAAGTGTTATGTCATTGACATGGAATGTTGCCAGCAGATCAAGGGGGATGATCCTTTGCCTCTGCTCAGCCCTAATGATGCCACACCTGGAGTTTTGGGTCCAGTTCTGAGCTCTCCAGTGCAAAAAAATAGATGGAGCTACTGGAAGGAGTCCAGCAAAGTGCCATAAAGATGATGGAGACACCAGAGCATCTCTTTTATGAGGAGAGGCTGAGAGAGCTGGGACTGTTCATCCTGGAGAAGAGAAGGCTCAGGGGGGATCTCATCAGTGTGTATAAATACCTGCAGGGTATTTATAAATGTATAAATATCTGGGTGCACAGAGGATGGAGCCAGGCTCTTTCCAGTTCTGCTCAGTGACAGGACTAGAGGTGATGGGCACACCCTGAAACACAGGCAGTTTGCTCTGAACATCTAGAAACACTTTTTCACTGTGAGGGTGACCAGGCACTGGCACAGGTTGCCCAGGGATGTGATGGAGTCTCCATCCTTGGAGATATTCAGACACTGTCTGGACATGGACAAGGACAGCCTGCTCTAAGAATGATGAGGTTGGACCAGATAAACTCCAGAGGTCCCTTTCAACTTCAGCCATGCTGTGATTCTGTGACTGTTTCTTTTTTCTGGGTAAATTGGTTCCTTCAGTTTTCAGGTCCATTCTAGGTGACAATTAAATTAATCAGTTTAGCTGTAAAACTAGCCAGGTTTTATGTAGATGCCGTAATCTTCCTAGTGGCTTAAATTGTGGAGGACTATAGACACTTAAGAGTTTCAGAGGCTCCCTTTGAATCCTACATGCTTGCTGCAAAGGCATTTCTGCAGAGCAGCCACAAGGCAAAAGAGATTGAAGGAGTTTTATGTTTAAGGAAGAGCTACAGAAGTCTCAAAGTATAATAGCAGCCGTCAGTTGTGCAGCGTGGAACATGCCAGCAAATATTAAAAGTGTATTGATGCTTTTAAGAGCTTATGATGTAGGGTAGCAGGATACTCAACAACAGCACAAAGAGGGATTTCCTGGCCAGAAGGATGTGTTGGGATGGCCAAGCATGAGAGTGACCTGACCAGGAGGGGTCATTTCACTTGAACAAAAGTTTTACTTTGCTTTCTCCGCTCCCCTGTCAGTCTTCATCTAAAATTACTTCTGCCACTTCAGGAGTAATTCTGGATTATCTGAAATGTACACTGAAATTAATCTATGCTTAGAAAAGCAATCAGAACAGTAATCCTTGACTCACTGGGGTGGCTCAGCTGAGTCTTTAGCTGGGGAGGAATTTATATTTCCCCCCTTCCTTGTGGGGAAGGAAACACGTGGGGATGTTCCTATCTCTCCGTCTGCATGCCATTGGGATGACCGCTGCCCGAGCTGCAGAGGGACTTGACCTTTCTCTGATAAACCTTCCTTCTGGGCATGTGCCACCTGCAGAGCATACTGCTGCTGGTTTCCCTGGCTCTGCAAGAGAAGAAGATCAGAATAAAAACCTTTGGGTTCAAGATCACTCTTGAACATAGCATAGTTGCTGTGATGGTGGGAGCCAGCTTTGTTTCACCACTGATAGTCTCACAGACTAATTCCAGTCAGGCAATACCTGTGGAGGTCTCTAGTCCAACCCCTGGACTATGGAAATATACTGAATTTAGGTGAAACACAGAGAATTGTTTTGCCCTCTCATCTCTTTACTCCCAGATCTGCCTACCCACTAGAGATGTGTGGATGTACATAACTGCCCCTAGGAAGGTAAAACTGTCTGGTAATAGAGGCAGAGGATGAAACTGGGAGGCAAACCCTATCCCATGGAGAGCCATAACATGGCAGAAGTTTTCGTCCTCAGAGGAGTGGTAGTATCTGGGAATGGTTGTCCCTCTTATCTCTCCCTACATTGTTGGCCAGGGTGGATAGGAAAGCAAGGGCTTCACTGGTGGGAGTGATATTGGATTTCAACTGTTGCCCTTATCAAGTTGGAGACCTTTGCCACAGGTGGGGCAAAATGAGACCACACACCTGCACTGTCGCTCTCTGGAATGGGGTTAGCCTCGGAGAGCTTGCGCCAGCCATCGAGCAGAGATTTGCTTTGCAGTCTTTTCCTGTGCACTTGCAACATCGCTTGCTTCAGAAATCCCTGTCTGCTTGCAGTATATAATTTTTTTCTTTTGAGTGGGAGCAGAACACAGTTGGTGGCCCCCATTGATTTGAGCAGCTGGTAGGGGGCTGCAGTGCAGCCATTCCCATGGGGCAGGTACCACTGCTTAGCTGTGTTTTTTGGTGACTTCACACCTACATTTCTGTCTTCTTCAAGACGAATCCCACCATGGACTGAAAGGTGACAGGCTGTGAAGCCATGATTGCTGCAGGCTTAGACAAAGATTTGCTTTCCTTTGCCCTTGTGTGTTCCCTGAGCGTTTGTGAGAGTCGTTTTCTGCCCGTGATCTCCCTTGGTGTCTTCACGTCAACTACATGGTATCCAGGGGCTGGGAGATGGCCTCAGTAGCTTAAACTAGGAGGGGGCAAGGGAGACTGTGAATGGTGAGGACTTTTTAGGCACAACTGTGCCCTTTTTTCAGACTGAGGCTGTTACATGTCTGGTGAGATTGTTTAAGGAGGGAGGTCTTTCTTGAGGACCTAATTGGCCTTGACAGCCCTTGAATTCAGAGGTGGTTTTGGTGCTGCTAAATGCTGGAGTAGAGACCTCTCAGTAAATCTGCTCTCCAGTGAGTGTGCAAGGTAAGGCGTGAAGCCCCTCAGCTCTCCCTTTCATCACAAAGATCTCTGCTCTGCCCTCACTGCAGCAGTAATGCAGACCAGGGAGCTGGTGAGGACCAGTGCTTTGGGACCATTGGGGTCTCAGTCCAAATTCACAACAGTTAGGTCCTGGACCCCACACAGCGCCGGCATTTAAATCTTTGGTATTTGTCCCTGTCAGTTCTGAATTTCACCATTTTCTATACATCTGTATATGTATAGTGATAAGTAAAGGGCATATCCCTGCATTTTGCGTCCACCACATCATGAACTGGAGAGTGTTCTGAAATTTGGCTTCTGGCATAGCAGCTGCTGCACGTTGTCCTAGCGCTTCCTAGCCTATAGTCTGAGGCTGAACTCACAGCAGGACACAACGGGCTCACACTCTGTCCAGGGCTGTTTCCTCATTTCCATTTCCTTCTGTGAGTTATATATTCACCTTCATTTAATAGCAGCTGTAATTCAGCTTCAAAAGCCCATGCCGTTGGGTTTGGCTCCAAAGTGCCCATGAATCAGTGAGGTGAAAATACACAGGCTTTTCATTCTTGTCTTACAGCTGCCAGTGCTGCTTCGCGTCAGCTGTGTTGGCTTGGTGTTTGCGTGCAATGCGGTGATGTGGACAGTCTTTGCAAAAGCCTTGCGACTCTCTTCCTCCTTGGCTGCTGCCTCTGTGACAACGACAGCCTCCAACTTCATCTCTTCGGTGAGTAGATCCCTTCCCCAGGCGCTGAAGCCCGAGGAGCACAGCGATGTGAGAATGCTCACGCTGGCTGCCACTGGTCTTAGCTCACCTCCCAGCAGAACCAGCATCAGTGGACACAAAGGGAGGGTTACAGGCAGACATGAAATGATTGCATCAGGCCCCAGCTGCTTTGATAGTTGTTCATGGCAGAAGCGGTGGAACTTTTCTGGATGGTGCAGGAGGAGGAGCACTGCTGCCCAGCATGGTGCCTTGCAGCAGCTGTACAGCTGAACTTTAATAACTGCCAGTGAGAGCCAGAGCCAGAAGCTTTGCTTTGCTTTGTTTTGCTTTTCCTTTGCAACACCTCACCTGTGACAAGCCAGTCACCCTAGCTGGGTGTGAAGATGCACCACCGCTAGTGACAGCAAGAGAATCTTTGACCTGCAGGTTTTTCTGCTTGCTTTTCACTCTTGGCAGCAGTCCACCTTGTTTCTGTGCTCCAACTGGCAGACAGCTCATGGTGGTGTCCAAGAATCGACTGGAGTTGCCCAGTCAACAAGAGATTTGGCTCCTGAGAAGTGATGGGAAGGCAGCAAAGCACACATGCATCTACCAAAGTCCTGCTTTGGGACCACAGGATAGCTGCGCTTCCAGGCTGGATGGCAGAGTCAGTCATTTCCAGCATCACCCGCAGCAGCCGTTTCTGTTGGTCACCCCAGCATGAGTTTCCTCAAGCACATTTTTTTCCCAGGGCTGTCTCTCCCAGTAGAAGTTCTCACAGCTCTGGCAGTGCAGGAGGCTTTGGAGCAGCTCAGCCCAGCAAAGCTTTTTGTCTCTCTTTTCCTTCAGGCAATCCTGGGCAAACTGCTCTTCGGGGAGACGTGGTCGCCTCTGTGGTGGGTCGGCCTCTCCACTACACTCTGTGGGCTCATGCTGCTGCACACAGCTGCGCCCCAGCTGGTGCAGGTCCCAGCAGAGAAGAAGGAGTGAGAGCTGCTGGAGGGGGCATGGTACCATGCTGCCCCTCTCCAGCCTGTCTCATGATGGCGTCCCCAGTGCCCACCGACCTTTGAACACGTCAACCATGGACCTGCTAACCCCTGCTCACTTGCTGACCCTCTGACTTGCAAAGTCACCTTGATTGCATCTTTCCTGGCAGGTTGGCAGTGTTGTGGTGGCAGTGACAGCCTCGGAGGGAGCTGATCCACTCTGAGTCAGTATTGTGAAAATCAGGGCCGGAGGCTTATCAGCTGCTCCTCCTCTTCACACCCTGCAGCTGTGGAGCTTTCCCAGTTCAGGGAAGGCTGAAAGTAAACATAGTGGCTGTGGAAGGTGCCTGTGCATTAGTACTTTTCCGTAAAAGGATCTATCCCAAAATAGAATCAGAAGTAGATGCTGAAGGCAGCTGATATTTCTGTTCTGCTGTTCCTGACTTTCCTGTCTGTTGAAATGGCTCCATGCCTGCTGCTGCCTATAATGCTGTGGAGCCTTTCAGCAATTCCTTCAGCTTCCTCTATCATTCACATACACCTTTTAACTTGCAATTTGTATCTGACACCTTTAATATTCACTTACCCATTCCTGACATCTTACTCATTGTAAGATTGCTGCTCTTTCCTTTAGACCCTTAACCAGGATGGGGTTTTGCTCACCATTCCTACTGTGTGTAGGTCTAACAGTAATTTTGGTACAATACAACAGGCAGCATGTGAAGAGTCAGCTGCTTTCACTAGGACTGTCCATGTTCAACACATCCCCCATCCCACTGAAGCTGACAATTCTTTAGTGTTTGGTAAAATGAATTTTCTCAAGCAGTGGTTTTTTTACACCTCTGATGCCGATTCCCATTCATGCAGTATGATCAACTACATGACTGGTATCCAGATATCTGCTAAATTTGGCATCAGTGATTACTCCATATTCAGGTGTCGACATGGTGAATGTGTCATGAATTATCATTTGTAAGATATCAGCCCACTTTTTTTTTTTCTTGGAAATTTTCTGTAGTTGGAATCCTAATTGAGAAATATAATGATGCCTGTAAATGTATGCATCATTCATACATTTCAGGCATATCACTTGTTTCCTCTGGGCTTGCTAGGTTGTCTCTGTCTTCTTGTAACCACAGAAAGTGAGTCATAGTTGTGGCATGTGCAGAAAACCTAAGGACACATTTCTGTAAGCCTCCATATCAGAACCTGTCAAGTCTATCATGACTGGCAGATCTGCCGTGTCAAGCAGGAGCATAAAATAGACTTGTGGATGGAAATGCCATTGGAGTTGGGTTCATGCCTTTTTCTTCTTTGTAACAGAAAGAAGGAAAGTCCCCAGAAGAGGTCAAGAGCTGTTTGCTCCAAGCCCCCTGCTTCAGGAGACCATCGTAGCTCACCACATGTGGCAACCATGTCCCAGGAGGGGCAATGCCTTTGCCTTTTACACTTGTGTGCTCCTAAGTCTTCTCCTCAAAGAGGGGAGAAGCATATATGGTGGGGGAGAGGGCAAAGTGCTCTGAGTGCCTTTCCTTCTTACCAGCATGGGTCTTCACCCTTGAGAAGCAGAACTCTTTGGGTAGCAGCTGTGATAGAGTGGGACACATCCAACCACCTGGGAAGCCGTGACTTGACACGGTCCCTCATAGTTCTGCAGACATGACAGCCAGGAACTCTGCATTTCTAAGTACATCGGGTCTCCTTAGATATTCATACACGATGGAAAATTATTGAAGTCTGATAATAACCCTTGTTATTAACTTCCAACCAGCTGTAAGCCATGGCTGCCTTCATGCAAATGGCAGTAGAAGGACCAGACTCTCTGGTTAATTTGGCTGGAGCCCCATTTCTTAACAAGCCATTTGGAAAGTTTTTTAACTGAAAACTGACATTTCTTTGTTACCGTCATTGTTGGAGATCAAGGTTTAGGAGATGTTTGCTCATGTGCAGAAGGTGTTGGCAGCACTTTACTTGGGGATCCTCACGTTTAGGACAGATAAACGTAAACTGGGGCTGTTAATTCTGTCATAAATATTTGAAGGCAAGAGCAGAAGCGAGTTTTCCTCCAGTTCCCATGGGAAGAAAAGATTGCCGAACAGGTGTGTTTTATGGCAGAATCTCCCTCCTTTGTGTACACAAGGCTTGACCTACGTCTGCCAGTGGGACCAGGGCTGCAAGGAAGGCTGCAATCACTGCGTGTCAAAGCGCTGTGCTTCCAGTAAACAATTCGTGTGTGATCATCCAAAATGCCTCTGGAAGTCACCTCAAAAAGGAGCACGAGCATTTTCAAAATAAAACAGTGTCCAAAGCTCAGTGGCTGAAATTTATTATTTACAGATATTTTAAACCACACACATGAAAAAAGGTGATATGAGACTAGTGAGTGAGGTAGGTTTGACAAGTCAGTGATTCAGATGTGGTGGACTTTTTAAGGTGGCTGAAGATCATGGGCAACTCTAAGACTTTGGTTTACCAGGGCAGAAGGTGGGTTACTCTTGTGTGAGAACTACAGTATTGTGCTTGCATGGAGTTTTTGCACACTTTGTGTTTTTAGAGGAGAATCTTGGGCACACGTTTCCACTCAAATTCCAGCAAGATACACTTCTATTTGCACATCTCACAAAAATACATTTTTGTTTGCAATGCTGTATACACAGCATTGGTGGATAGGGGCAAAGCAACTAACATTGTTTACTTGGGCACATACAAAACATTACACACTGTTCTGTATGAACTGGGGAGACATGTGTTTGATCCAAGGCACACCTGCAAGTTTGGCAGAGAAGTGATTAAGACCAGCCTGGTGGAGAAGGACTTGGGTTGATGAAAAACTCAACATGAGCTGGCAGTGTACACTTACAGCCCAGAAAACCAACCAGATCCTGGACTGCTTCAAAAGCAGCATGGCCAGCAGGGTGAGGGAGGTGACTTGCCCCCTCTACTCCGCTCTTGTGAGACCCCACCTGGAGTACTGCATCCAGCTCTGAGAACCCCACCAAAGGACATGGAACTGTTGGAGCAAGTCCAGGGGAGGGCCACGAAGTTGATATGAGGGCTGGAGCACCTCCCTTATGAAGACAGGCTGAGAGAGTTGGGGCTGTTCAGCCTGGAGAAGACAAGGTTGTGTGGAGACCTCATAGCAACCTTCCAGTATCTGAAGGGGACCTACAGGGAAGCTGGAGAGGCACTCTTTGTCAGGAACTGCAGTGATAGGACAAGGAGTAATGAGTACAAATTGAAAGAGTGGAAATTTAGGTTAGATATACAGAAAAAAATATTTTCTGTGAGCATGGTGAGGCACTGGAACAGATTGCCCAGAGAAGTTGTGGATGCCCCATCCCTCGCAGTGTTGAAGGCCAGGTTGGATGGAGCTCTGAGCAACCTGGTCTAGTGGGAGATGTCTCTGCCCATGGCAGTGGGGGTTGGAAGTAGATGATCTTTAAGGTCCCTTCCAACCCAAACCATTCCATGATTCTCTGATCTCACAAGTGCTGGCTGTAATGAGTCTTTTTGCACCTTCCCCGCATTCTTGAACACAATCCTAATTTTTCAGCATCTTGTTCATCATATTTTCCTCAAGCAGGGCTATTATACCAGGTCATTCTTTAAACAGTAGAAGAAGCAGGTGCATGGTTAACAGGAAGGCTCACAGTGACACTCATGAAGATTGAAGTAAGTGTTCTTGAATTAACAGTGGAAGTGTTTTAAAAATTTATTGTATAAACAAAGTCCAAGAGTATTGTATTCTAAGGTAAATAATACTTTGTATACCTTTACAAGGAACAAAGCCCAATGAAATTAACATTTCAGTTGAACCTTAAAGCATAATTTGACTGATTAGATAAGGAAATATACATAAAAACTTTAAAATGTCCCTGATGTCATTGACAAGAATTCACTGAAACTTGGAAAGTTTGTACAGCATCTCAGTCACAGCATATATTGAAATAACTTGAAGGATGGTATGTTTGCCTGGGTGATAAGTAGTAAAAGTAGATGCAATAAATAAGATATATTGTTCTGCCGAGTGTGGTATAGTTAAAATTTCCAAGGAATTTGGTTCAGTGCCCTCTGTTGACCCTTCAGAAACCTCAGATCAGATTGCAAGAGTGTCTCACACACACACGCACACATAATTCCACCATCTTGCAAGCAGTGGGGTGTTTTCGAAGAAGGAAATCCTGGTGATGCAACACACTGGAAGAGTGCTGCTGTGGCTCTGACCATGTCTGGCACAGAAAAACCATGAAGTTAGGAGTAAATGGGTACTAATCCTGCTGTGTTTCGGGTGTCAGATACTCTGCTTGCCTTCTACGGAAGAGCAGTAGCAAACCTTCATTTTGGGGATCTGAGAGTTGCAGAGGGAAGTCGCGCAGGATGGGCACTCATTTACAGCAAGTGTTGTGGTGCTTGCAGCTCGCTTGGTCTCGGAGAAAAGTCTGGGATGAGCTCAGGTCAGTGGTAAAAGCTTTCCTGGGAGAACCCAGGACTTTGCCCTTAAAAATTGAGTGTGTGAGGCATTGTACCACGTAACTTTTTAATGAAAAGGATTGAAGAAGATAACATTCCTGAAAATGCATTACTGAGGAAGGAAAAAGTATTTTAGACTGTAAAGCAAAACCTTCTAGATTCAGGCAGTAGGTGGTTGTTAGGCTGGGTGTTTCAGTGCCCTTTCTAAGGCACTAGATACTTTAACACTAAAAAACAAAGGTCAGTGACCTCTTTGTAAAATCTGAAATGGGGTCCTGGGCCATGGGCAGGGTGGAGAGGGAAACTGGGGTTGGGCAGGGGAAGCAGTGGTACCCTCAGGGCCCTGACATAGTCAATGGCTGTTTTTTCCAGCGCCGGACCCCCAAGTTTAAGAGGGGTATAGGAAAATGGTCTGGCTCAAGGATACCAAGATGGCAGGAGACTGCGAGGAGAGGCTGAGGGATGTGGGCAGGTTGGAGAAGGGAGGCTCAGGCTGATTCTATTAGCAGCTGACGTGAGCTTGGAAAGGAGTTACAGGGGCAACATAGAAGTGGCCAGTACAAAAAGAGGCAGCAGGCACAGGTTCTGTCTTGGGACTTTTAAGATGGCCATCTTAAGAGGAAAAAATGTCATTAAGATGTTACTTGCCCACAGAGGCAATATGAAAACCCATGGAGGTTTTCAAGGCTCAGCTAGGGAAAGACCTCAAGTGACCCAATCTGGTGTTGGTGCCCATCGCATTTGGGCAGACGGTTGGATTGTCTGTGACCTAGGGACTGAGTTCATGATCAACACCATCTGTAATGGAAACTGGTTTGCCCTTCTGCCTCCATGTTTATCTGTTACCATTAAATCCTGCTGTGCCTCCTTGAGGCATCATACAGACCGAGGTCACCAGAGGCTTGTTGTCTAACCACAGAAACCATAATGGACACTTGCATATGCATTCATA